TACGCGGGCCTCTCACTGCTGTGGCCTCTCCCGCTGTGGAGCACAGGCTCCGGACGCGCAGGCTCAGCGGCCATGGCTCACGGGCCCAGCCGCTCCGCGGCATGTGGGATCTTCCCGGACTGGGGCACGAACCCGCGTCCCCTGCATCGGCAGGCGGACTCTCAACCACTGTGCCACCAGGGAAGCCCACAGGTGGGACTCTTAACCGACTGCTAGTGTTGCTGGTCCCCAAGCCCCCCAAAGAAAAGAAATGGGTACCAGAGCTACCACAACTGAAATCAGAACCCTGGCACCTGGGACCTCGGATCGTGGTACACATGGGTTTACGGTGCTCTCTGCAGGAGAGCCCATGGGTCCCCCTCCGTTTGCTTGGTGGTCTCAATTCCATTCCTGTTCAGTGGGGGGCGCCGTGCCAGGGGCCACTGGGGAGAAACCAGGAGGCCTAACACCTAGAACTTCTCTTAAATGGTGCTCTCCAGAGCCCCCCTGGGACGGTGAAGGGGGCTGCTCATCACAACTGGTTTATTTTCTATCCAGATGCCTCTGCAGTCTCCTAAGTTCATCTTTGAGCTCATCCTCAAACTTCACTGTGCATCTGTGCATATGCAGATTTCTGCATCCACCCTCAGAGTCTCGAGGGGAGGCCAGGAAACTTTTTTTTTTTTTTTTAAGCGATAAGCTCAGATGTTTCTGAGACAGTTTAGCCATGCACTGACCACACTTTGATACAAGCAGCTCCGGGGGCCAACGACCATAAACCTGCCTCAGACACCCAAGGAGTGCAGGGCTGGAAAGCCTAGTGAGTGAGGGGGGAGGGAGCAAGCTGGTGGCGATGGATGATGCTGGCTTTGCTCAGCTGTGCCCCGGGGGCTGGCTTCAGCTCCCTCTGGGTCATTTCCAGCCTGTCTGCCATACAGACACCTCCTCTTTCCCAGTCTCTCTTCCGGGTCATCTTCTGAGAGGAGGCTTATTCTTGTTTCGTTCTTCCTGCATTTTCACATTTCTGCCCACTTACATTCTGTTTCACCTTATTCTAGTTTTCATTTGGTAATATTCCCCTTCTCACTGCTCTTATATCTCACTGCCAATTAGGAACTGAATGGTACCCACTCCCTGAAGAATCCCTTGGTCATCGTTTGTTTTAATAATCATGGTGAAAGGCAGTGACCCCTGGAATAGTACCAACCCAACTCCATCCAGCAAGTAACAGGATGTAAGGGGAGGCATCCAAGTGGCTCCTGAGAGCTGGTCCCCACTGATGAAGAAAGTTCAAAAGAATCATCAGAATCTGGCACATCCTCAGGACCCAGGAAATAACGCGCATCACCAACGCACCCAGACAGTACGGCTTCTCCCGCCTCCGGTGCCTCTCCCGGTCATATCGGTATCCTGGGTAACAAGTACACAGCACTCGGCCGAAGTTATCTGTGCACTGCTGTTCACAGGGAGCCTCAGCACATACATCATAATCTGAAAAAGAAAAGTGTGAACTCAAAACCACCACAGTCATTCACTAGACGGAGGCGGGGCCCACCCAGCCCTGGTTGGGAACAGACTGTCTAGGCTGCACTCCGCTCAAGGGGAACGGTGGTGTGACCAGCTATGTGTAGAGGGAATTAACTCTTCAGGCCATGGGGCCTCTGGCAGGAGGGCTGCAATGGGTAACTAAGTGCTCAGAATCTCAATGGTTAAATGGAAATATCACTTGTGATACTCCCTGGGTCACCTCACCATCCTTATTTTTTTCTTTCTATAAGAGCATCACTACAAACTTTAATGGTGCATTGATTGGCAAAATCTATGCAAGAAAAATGTGCTTACCGTGTAAAAGTAACCTCAAATAAATTCATCTAGTGCAAAGACCTTCAAACCAAAGTATGCAATCCCTGCGGTAAAAGGAGATTTTCCTGTGGGTACTTGGACACATATAAATTCAGGAGGGTCAATTTACAGATATTAAACTTTCATGCTTATTCTTTCTAAAAACTGATCTACTTGAGGATTTCCCCCATGATCAAGAGTCACTGTATTTCTCTTTTGCTGCCTTTCGTTTTTTCATTTTAAATAGAACACCTTTATTAAAATATAATCCACATAGCACAAAATTTACCCTTTTATAGTGTGCAATTCAGTAGTTGATTTTTGTCATTCATCCAGAGAGCAAAGAAGCTTTAGGTGGCCAGGCTCTGCTGAATTACCTGGGGGCCTGTTTCCTCTTTTTCACCAACTGCTGGAGAGACGAGGAATTCCTTCCAGCTGAATACTGAAGAACAGCCAGCCCTGGCGATGGGCACTGGCGTCCTAACGTGAGGGGCGGGGTGGTGCTGGAAGTCAGGCAGGCTGGGAGGAGCCTGAGGGAGGCTGACTGATGTCTCTGTGCTGTAGGCTTGCAGATGGGGTGGGGGAGGATCGATTCTGCATGGTGAGCAGCGTCTGGGTAAGGCAGAATGGCCAGATATCTCGTTCCAGCTCTAAGTCTGTGCAAATTGGGGTGGACGCTCTATTCGTCGAGAACCAGGGTATCTCCTCTTTTCTCAGTCCTTACAAACAAACTAATATTTAACGAGCCTCTGAAGGGACTCTGGCTCTAAGTCAGGAGGCTGAGACTGAACATTTAATTCCAGACTAGACCCAGCATCTCATTAATCACTGCACTGTCTCCCCCAGGTGCTGACAGATAAACTATCGCTGGAAACAGAGTGAGCCTGGCTTTGCTCTGCCACATGTGAAAGTGCAATGGGTGGGCTGTCAGCCCCTGATGTGGGTGGGGTCAGCGAGACAAGGATCACGCCAATCTCAGGACGACCCGGAGGGCGGCCCTTGCTAAATACTCCTCCCCACAGATGTGATTCCAGGCCTGCTCTTCCTGCATGTGAACCTGGTCAAATGCGTTTTCTTCACTGAAGCATCACCTCTAGGCAGCCCATGTTCTGTGCTCTTTTTGCTCAAGAGCAAGGTCTCAGCCGTGATTGGCTGTGGGCTGCTCTGCTCGGCCAGCTGTACCCGTCATCCAGCAGCTGCCAGGGAGGGAGGGGAGGAAAGGGGCAGAGTCAGGAGTCCCGTGTTGACTGTTATGCTCACTAAGACCTGTTTTGACATATATGTGTTAATATATGATATTTGTTTTTCTCTTTCTGACATACATGTGGAATCTAGAAAAATGGTATACATGATCTTAATCGCAAAGCAGAAATAGAGACACAGATGTAGAGAACAAACAAATGTAGGGACACCAAGGTGGGGAAAGGGGGTGGTGGTGGGATGAATTGGGAAATTGGGATTGACCGTATATACACTATTGATACTATGTGTAAAATAGATAACTAATGAGAACATACTGTATAGCACAGGGAACTCTACGTAATGCACTGTGGTGACCTAAATGGGAAGGAAATCCAAAAAAGAGGGGATATGTGTATATGTATAGCTGATTCATTTTGCTGTACAGTAGAAACGAACACAACATTGTAGAGCAACTATACTCTAATAAAAATTAATTTAAAAAAAAGATAGCAAAATGCTAAAAAAAAAGAAAGAGAAAGAAAAAGACCTGTTTTGAAAAAGAGCAGCCCTGATTTCCTCCTCATTCCAGCTGCCTTGAGGTACCACTTCCAGCTCCTGCGGCTGATTCTTTTATGATTTCCCTCTGCATCTCTGAACAGCCAGCTTGCATTGCTTCCTCCTCTTTTGTGTGCTGAATACTCTCTACACATTTCCAGTCATGGACAAGACACGTTCAGCTTTATCACTGTTTCCTCAACCACGTCCATGCTTCCTACTCCTGCATTTTGCCCCTGTCGTTACACTGAAATTTTGGTTTTATAAGTCTTGAGTGTTGGCAGCATAATGACAATATAAAAGCTATTTTTTGCTAAGCCTGGAAGTATACTCTAATTCCCTATCCTTTCTTGAAGACCCTTTTGTTTTCCCTGGAATTAAAGTAATTATCTAGTACCACATGCACCCAATGTTCATTGCAACACTATTTACAATACCCAAGACATGCGAAGCAGCCTAAATGTCCACCAACAGATGAATGGATGAAGAAGATGTGGTACATACACACAATGGAATATTACTCAGCCCCGAAAAGCAATGAAATAATGCCATTTCCAGCAACATGGATGGATCTAGAGCATATAACACTAAGTGAAATAAGTCAGACAGAGAAAGACAAATATAATCACTTACATCTGGAATCTAAAATATAATACAAATCAGTTTATTTACAAAACAGAAACAGACTCACAGACATAGGAAACTTATGGTTACCAAAGGGGAAAGAGGGGGGGAGGGGTAAATTAGTAGTTTGGGATCAACAGATACACACCACTACATATGAAATAAACAACAAGGATTTACCGTATAGCAGAGGGAACTACATTCAATATCTTGTAATAACCTATAATGTAAAAGAATCTGAAATATACATACAACTGAATCACTCTGCTGTATAGCCGAAGCTAACAATACTGAATATCAACTATACGTCAATAAAAAATAATTGTTTTGTATATTGCGGGGGGTAGTTGTGAACTTCCTTTCCTCTCTTAGCTTCAAACTTCCATTCCCATGGGCTACTTTGTGACTGGTACTCTGGAAACCACATTTCTGCCTTGTTGGCTGCTGGCTTATTAAGTACTGAGAACAGGGCTGGGAGAGTGAGCAAGGTGAGAGGAGAGAGACTGAGAAAGGTCTTACAGGATTTAAAAATTTGAAATCATGTGTGCTGAAAATGTCTTTTTTCAACACTTATGGCTAGTTAGGGTATATAATTCTAGGTTTGGAAAGCTACCTCAGAATTTTGAAGGAACTGCTCCCCTGTCTTCTAGCTTTCAGTCCTGCTATGGATAAGTCCTATAAGATTCTAATTCTTGATCTTTCAAATCTCATTTTTCCCTCTTTGAAAAATGCTAGTATTTTCTTTTTGCCCCAAGGTACTAACATTTCACAATGACGTCTTTATGTGGGACCCCTTCGATTTTTGGTAGGCTCTTTTAATCTAGAAATTCATATCCTTCAATTCTAGAGAATTTTCTTGAATTATATCTTTAATGATTTACTCTCTTCTTCCTCTGTTCTGTGTGGAACTCTTATTTGGATGTTGCATCCCCTGGACTGGTCCTCTAATAATATTCTCATACTTTTCTTTTACTATTTTTTATTTCTTTGATCTTTTGCTCCAGGTCCTCAGAGATTTTCACAATCTCATCTCCCAACCATTTTCCTGTCCTCATTTTATCATGCTTTTAATTTCCAAGATTCTTTATTTCTTCTTTGAATGATCTTTTTTTAATAACACCATGTTCTGGTCCCATGGATGCTATACCATTTTTGTAACTCACTGACATATAAACGGTAGTTACTTTGAAGTTTTCTTCTTTCTGTGTGGTGTTTTCTCTAAGACTCTTTTTCTTTTTTTCCTGTATGTTTCTTTTGTAGGTTTTCCTCTAATGACTGGTGATCCTTTTCCTGTTTGGACATCTGCTGTAACTGATTCATGGTTAAATACAATAGCTAAAATATAAAAAATTATAGCTAAATAGAAGCAAAGCTATAAAATTAGCTAAATATTGAAGAGAAGGCTATAAAATCAGCTAAATAGAAGTTCTTTGCATGTGGTAGACTTTACAAACACTGGGCTTTTTTTTTTTTTTTTAGCATCTTTACTGGAGTATAATTGCTTTACATTGTTGGGTTAGTTGTTGCTGTATAACAAAGTGAATCAGCTATACATATACATATATCCCCATATCCCCTCCCTCTTGCATCTCCCTCCCACCCTCCCTATCCCGCCCCTCTAGATGGTCACAACGCACCGAGCTGATCTCCCTGTGCTATGCAGCTGCTTCCCACTAGCTATCTAGTTTACATTTGGTAGTGTATATATGTCCATGCCACTCTCTCACTTCATCCCAGCCTCCCCTTCCCCCTCCCCGTGTCCTCAAGTCCATTCTCTACGTCTGCATATTTATTCCTGTCCTGCCCCTAGGTTCATCAGAACCATTTTTTTTTAGATTCCATATATATGTGTTAGCATACAGTATTTGTTTTTCTCTTTCTGACTTACTTCACTCCGTATGACAGAGGCTCTAGGTCCATCCACCTCACTACAAATAACTCAATTTTGTTTCTTTTCATGGCTGAGTAATATTCCACTGTATATATGCGCCACATCTTCTTTATCCATTCATCTGTCATGGACACTTAGGTTGCTTCCGTGTCCTGGCTATTGTAAATAGCCCGGGCTTCATTTAAGTGATTTGCCTGGTGCATTTCAATGTCAGTTTCTTTAGGACTTTTTTTTTTTTTTTTTTGCGGTACGCGGGCCTCTCACTGTTGTGGCCTCTCCCGTTGCGGAGCACAGGCTCCGGACGCGCAGGCTCAGCGGCCGTGGCTCACGGGCCCAGCCACTCCGCGGCACGTGGGATCCTCCCGGACCGGGGCACGAACCCGTGTCCCCTGCAGCAGCAGGCGGACTCTCAACCACTGCGCCACCAGGGAAGCCCCAACTTTCCATTTTTGATGGTTTTCCAGAGACCACCAGCTTCCTGCTCTGTAGCTTTTCCCTCTACAGTTTCTCTCTTTTCACCTGTCCTATTTCTCTTGGCAGCATTCTAACTCAGATCTTCAGAACCCCCCTTGTAAATCCTCATCTCAAGATTCTTCCCTCTTAAGTCCACTCTATGTAACACCGTCAGACCAGTAATATTCTGAAAGTATAGCTCTGTGAGTGTCACCACCTTGCTCAAAAAGCCTGTAAATTCTATGCTCATCAACATTAAATATAAATGGCTCACTCTTGCATTTGAGGTCTGGTGTTCTATCCCTGAGACTACACTTCCAACCTTAAGACTCATTTATGAATTCCTTACACTTTGATAAGGAATACACTCTCTTCCCCATCATCCCTTATCACATCCATGGCTTACTGTTACGTTTTTGTTTATTCTGTTTTCACCCTTTATAATGTCCAATCAACCCCTCCACTCTTACTCTCAGCATTTTATTACTGTTGATACCCTATCTAGTTTCTCAAGTCCCAACGCAAAACAGACGTCACTGTTTTAAGAAGACTTCCTTGAAGTCCTCAACAGAGTTTAGTTTCCGCATCCCACCAATCTCCACAGGACTCGATCCTGCTCTGCCATATTTGCTGAATGCCGACTCTGTGCCAGGCTCTATTCTAGGAGGCATGAAGTGGTATGATGAAGAGCACAGGGTCTGGAGCCAACCCTCCCCACTCGGCCACTCTCTCTGTGATCCTGAGGTCTTTAAGACTCAAGACCAGCTTCATGGTGCTTTTAGGAAGATTAAATTGGATGATGCATTAAGCACAGTGCCTGACACCTAGTCAAAGCCTGACCTGCTTTTTAGCTTCTTTTACTATTAGTTCTAATGACTGTTTGGATATCTGAAAGGAACTGTGTCCCCTGGAGCAACCAGCACTATTCTCTTCCTACGGTTTAAGTACAATTAGTAGTTGCTGAACTAGAACAAATCTGATTACCCTACCCCCTGGGCAATGTAGATAACACTTATGGCAGGGGTTGGCAAACTTTTTCTGTAAAGGGGGCTAGATAATACTTTTTGGCTTTGCAGGGCTTTGTTGAAGCTACTCAACTCTGCTGTTGCAGGGCAAAAGTCGCCATAGACAATATTGAAGTGAATGGGTATGTCTGTGCTTCAATAAAGCTTTATTTACAAACCAGGTGGTGGGCCAGATTTGGCTCACAGGCCACAAGTTGCTGACACTTAAACAAATGAGGCAACAACACTTTAAAATTGCAGCTTCTACTCGCTAGCATATTTGTTTAGAAATTCTAGTCTCTTCCTATTATCTGTAATGGCTAATTTTAAGGGTTAACTTGGCTAGGCCACAGTACCCAAATATCTGGCCATTTTTCTAGAATTTTCTGCAGAGATTTTTTTTTTTTTTTAAATGAGATTAACATTTAAATCAGTAGATGTTGAGTAAAGCAGATTGCCCTCCACACTGTGGGCTCGTCTCCTCCAATCAGTTGAAGGTCTACATAGAAAAACGATGGCCCTCCATTGATAAAGAGGGAATTCTGCCAGCAGATGGCCCTTTAGACTCAAACTGTAACTCTTCCTGAGGTCTGCAGCCTGCTGGCCTACCCTGCAGATTTTGGACGTGCCTGCCTCTAAAATCTCGGGAGCCAGTTCCTTAAAATAAATCTCTGTTTGTTTCTCGGGAGAATCGTGACTAGTACACCATTTTTCTGAAATCCTACACTTTGCATCCTTGGGTAACAGAAACCTTTATAATGAAAGATACTTTCAGTCATAAACACGAACACACACACACACACACACACACACACACACACACACACTGACTTATTCCCACAGAGGAAAACAAATCAACTTTAAAAAGTGTTCTAGTGAAAAGCGATAGAACAGAGTTAATTACGGCAAAGCAACTTTCAGCACTTGGGACCACTTTCCTTGGAAATATTCAGTTCTAAGTTACATTAATCTTAGGTGCTGATAACGTCTTACTGCAGGGTGAGGCAGACTGTTTTTAGGCTTAGATGTTTGAAACCACAACACCTATCATTTAAAGAAACTCTAAGCATGTGGTATCCATGTAATGTGTTTTTAAACAGGTTGGGCAAGGTCCTTAACTGGGATCTTAAATTGATGGGCCTAAACCTCATTATCTTTCTGTATCTGCAAAATTGGAATATAAAGGACTCAGCTGGTGGCTGAGAAAAGCTGGCTTATAAAAGAATGCAATTATTTTGACCTCTGTGTTTTTTTTTCCCCACCGAGCTCTAACAGAACTAGCTGGCAGTGAGAAATTCCGTCTCGGAGCGACCAATATAAACCAACGTATGTGAAGAGATTTCCTAACCAGCCTTCCTAAAGCAGCTTTCTCAGAGTTGACAGCTATGGTTTAATGAACTCTTCTGCAAAAGAGAGCAATAAATAAGAAGGATTCATTTATCTCTAACTGATAAAGAAACTGCTCCCTATGAGATAATGCAACATAATTAGCTTGGCTGGGCTCCAAGTCCACTAGAGAGACCTGGATTCTTGGCCAACAGTGAAGAAAACGATTTCACATTACCTACTCACCCGTCCCCAGCCCAGCCCTGGGCAAACTAATCTCATGCTCTTCCAACAGTTCTTAGTGTTTTCTGTATCAGTGCTCTGCCTGGAATCTTTCACATTTCTCCTCCTCCTTCTTGTCTAAGTCCTGGGCAGCCTTCCTCATAACCTAGCTCCAAACTCCTCACCTTCTCGAGACCATCTCTGACTGCCCTGGTCTCTGGGACTATGTGCCCCTTCTGCAATATGCGTGTCTCTACTATGCATATTGCAGTTGTTAGTAATAACAGGAAGCACGAGTTAGCAAGCACTTAATAAGAGCCAGCCTCTGTTCCAAGTACTTTACATGCGGTAATCCTCTTAAAGCCACATGAGTCAAGTACTAACACTTTCTGCAAAAACTAAGGTTTAGAAAGTCACGTGCCCAAGGTCATAGCTGGCAGGATGTGTGTTATGGACTGAATGTTTGTGTCCTCCTGAAATTCATATTTTGAAACCCTAACCCCCCAGTGTGATGGTATTAGGTGGGGGCCTTTGGGAGATTATTAGATCACGAGGGTGAAGCCCTCATAAATGGAATTAGTGCCCTTATAAAAGAGACTCCAGAGAGCTCCCTTGCCCTTTCCACCATGTGAAGACACAGCAAGAAGATGGCTGTCTATGAACCAGGAAGCGCTCACCAGACACTGGACTTTCCAGTGCCTCGCTCTTGGACTTCCCAGCCTCCACACAGTCTAATGTATTTTTGTCACAGCAGTGCAAATGGATTACAGCAACATGGAAGCATGATTAAAATCCAGGTCTCTCTGATTCCATGCCATCCACATGCTGTCTCCCAGCTTGAGGGCTGGGCCCACGTCTTACAACACTCTGTCTCTTCAGTGCTGGGCTGAGCAGTGTTTGCTGATGATCAAGGGGCTTCACGTTTAGCAGATGAAAAGCAGGTAGAGAGGTTGGGGGAGATGGCTGTGCTCTAACTGTGCATGCAATACTGACTAGGGAATTATAGCCTCTACAACACAAAACCGGAGATACAGGAATTACTCAATATACATGTAAATGCTATGTAATGATTTAGACAGAACCTGACATGTATAACCAAATTAGCATTAGAAGAATTTAAAGCCAAAAAAGGAGAGAAATTACACATGCATGCACCGATAACATACATATGTTCCGTGTACATCTGAACTTTACAGACCTCTGGTTATTAGTCATAAACAAGGTGAGAAGATATAATCCATTATATTACATACCTTCTGGGATGCATTGTCCAAGGACAAATTTATACCCTTTGCAGCACTTCCGCCTAAGAGACAAACAAAATGTGGTATGTTAAAAATAAAATTCTTTACAATTAGCCATTTTGAATGAAATAACTTGTGCCCAGGAAGAACTGAGGCATAAAGGAAAGTCAGGGTAGAGGGAATCTGAGATAAAAAGAAAAAATACTATCACTACCCTATGACCACACCTTTTCCCCACCTAATACAGGACATTAATCCTTTGAATCCTATGAAGTGAATTAACCCTGAGACTTCAAGATATTTCTATTAGATGATTAGTGGCTTATCATCCTACAGGTCAAGGATTCACATGACTTGCTAATTATATGAGCTAATTATAGTAACATTAGGCTAATTGTAACATAATGATTGATAATTACCATATAATAATTAGGTAACTGATTATTATCAAGCCTGGGACTGCAACCCAAGCATTCTGATTCCTGCCCCCCCCCTTTTTTTTTTTGAAAACACCTGTACCACATAAGGTACCTAAACATACCTAAAATATCTGAACTTTAAGAAGGGCTAACAGGCAAATTTTAACATAAACATCCAAGACTTACATCTCTGCCCAAGAAATGGTGCCATCAGTTCACAATGCAAATCTCCACTGTAGGGATCATATCTCTGGTGTGGAGTTGTGACCTCCTAAGAGACCTGCCCCCTCTGAAGATAACAACAATAAACTCTGGACAAAACAGAAGCAAACAACTAGCTGATGATTCTGGAGAGTTAAAGCAGACAGATTTAGGAGGAGAGAGCTGAAATTTCAACAAGGGACTGACAGAGGGTAATTTTCCTGCTTTTTAGGGCTTTATCCTGCCTGCAGATCACAGTTGCCATGTGGAAGCTAAAAGTCTGAGAGAAAATCTGCAGTATTTTTTGGCCTGATCAAACAGAGGACAAAGCCTTGGGATCCAGAGTCATGAGAAACTGAGAAGGAATCCTGGAAAGGATACTGCTAGAGAAGGAGAGCCCCGAATTTTGTGTATAAACTCTGTCCAAGTCTCTGGTAACCCCTAACCCATGTGTGTGAGAAGCAGATCCAAAACATCTCAGCTAAAGACAAAAGGGGCTGAATGAAGGCTTGAGCTGCCACTTCTACGGGCCAGTTTTCACTTTTTGCCTAATCAAGTTAACTGTCTGCTAAAAGGAAAATATCAATACTCTTTGGATGAATGTATCAGGATGCAGGGTCTCTACAACACAACGTGTATAAATGTGACCTATTCTCAAGGGAAAAGACAATCAATGGTGTGAACTCTAAGATAACCCAGAGGTTGGAATTATCAGACGCAAACATATAACTATGTTCAATGATATAAAGGAAGATATACTTGTAATGAATGAAAAAGTAGGAAATCTCAGCTCTCCAACTCTCCAATCTCCCTCACTTTTCCCTTCCCTTCTCTCCCAGCTGGTTTCTAAGTAAGCTTCCCTTCACCACTTCCAACATCAGTGTATGTTAAGTCAGAGAGCAAGAATTAACCAGGGCCCTGGGAATCTGCAAATCTTAAGAACTTACCAAGATATTTTGACTTGACTATAATGGCTAAACTACCATTAAAAATACTCTTCTTTGTAACCCTAAGAGAAATCAGATTCAAGGTTATTCTCATCGCAATGTCATTCTGACTCCTTTGCATTTGGATAGGCTTTCCAGGTGGAACAGAAAGGGATTAAGTTAAATAGGATCTACCAGCTAGGAACTACGTATCACCTGCAACCTATCATGCCACCTGTGTTAACATGTCATCTGTATATACGAATCAGGGGCACAAACCACTGATTTGGATAATTAGGCATTATCTGTGTCTTAAAGCTAGTTCCCACTTTCATCAAATGGCCAGAGCCTTCGACCGGACTAGACAAGACCTTCTGTCTCTAATAACGGCATTATTTTCTACTTTTGCAAGTCAGTGTAATCTTACTGGTCAAATCAATTTTTGTGAACTGGTCTGCTAAGTGAATGACCACTCATAGGAGAAACTTAAGCAATCTCTTCCCCAAGCTTTAAAATTTTTATTACTTTATACAATTTATAAACATCACATCTAGTACGAGAACATTCTGATGCCTAAGTGGGTTTAGCAGCATTACCTCATTCCTTCCTGTAACATCTCACGTGCAGCCCAGATGCAGCAGATAATCCTACTTCCAAAGCAAAATAAGTGGGCTTCCATTAAAAAAACAATGGCATTTGGGATGCTCCCAAAGCAGACTTGAGTGAAATAGCTAAGCTCAACCCCACCCTCAACAAAGGATACATTTGCCTGCCTGTACTTGTCCACTCAGTATATATTATTTTATAAGCTCTCATTGACATATTTTATGTTAAAAGGAAATACTTATGTGTATGTAATTTACTGATATGAGCGATCTGGGGCAACGTCCAGAGTCTTCCAGTTCGACCTAATTCCCCAATATCTGCAACCGCATTGTAATTTTACATGACAGGAAAAGCCCATGGGGTATAAATTTATGATGGTTATTATTTGTAACAGTGGTAGAAGACCTACCATTACCTTCTATGAAATAAACTCTGCCTAGTTTTCCGTGGTTTAAGAAAGTCCAAGTTCTAGACTTCTTCCCTGGTGGCGCAGCGGTTAAGAATCTGCCGGTCAAAGCAGGGGACACGGGTTCTAGCCCTGGTCCGGGAAGATCCCACATGTCGCAGAGCAACTAAGCCCGTGGGCCACAACTACTGAGCCTGCGCTCTAGAGTCCACAAGCCACGACTACTGAGTCTGCGTGCCACAACTACTGAAGCCTGGGTGCCTAGAGCCCGTGCTCCTCAACTAGAGAAGCCACCACAATGAGAAGCCTGCAAACCGCAATGAAGAGTAGCCCCTACGTGCCGCATCTAGAGAAAGCCCGAGTGCAGCAACAAAGAACGAATACAGCCATAAAATTAATTAATTAAAAAAAAAAGAAAGTCCAAGTTCCTAACAACCAAAAAGAAAACTGGCTTAACAGAGCATTCATTAAAATTTCATGGATATTACTTACTGTATTACTTAAGGCTGTCCTACAGAAAACTATAGGAGGAAACAGTGCACTAGATGATTCGAAACTCGAGTGATTCATGAGAAAGTTGGATGGAGGGGCAAAACATGTGCTTTCGATACATCTCAAGTATAACACCACGTTTAAACATGGTTCTATTTGTTTGTTTCTACCTGAATGGCACATCTAAGGTATTGCCTGTGAGATGTTCTATGGCATTTTAAAGTTCATGCAAATGGGTGAAATCCTTATAATCTGTTTTTCTACATCTAAGACATTAAGCTTGGGCACTCTAACCTTCCTGAGCATTTCAAGGGCTTGGGACCATGCACACAGTGGAGCCAAAAGTCACCTGTCATTTCCTTTCTTATGGAATTAAATAACGTAGTGATTTGATATGCTTTCGAGAGGCTATGGAGCTCTGTCAGAAAATCTGAGCTTCAGGATGGACATACTTCATTTAAATATCTGCTCAGCGAAGAACTAACTTTCCTTTGGCTGTTTTTGTTGTTGTTGTTGTTTGTTTTTTTTGCGGTACGCGGGCGTCTCACTGTTGTGGCCTCTCCCGTTGGGGAGCACAGGCTCTGGACGCGCAGGCTCAGAGGCCATGGCTCACGGGCCCAGCCGCTCCGCAGCATGTGGGATCTTCCCGGACCGGGGCACGAACCCGTGTCCCCTGCATCAGCAGGCGGACTCTCAACCACTGCGCCACCAGGGAAGCCCCCCCTTGGCTGTTTTTTCTTAACTGCATAACTAACACTCTCTCTCTGCTCAAGAGGAGGAGGTCGGAGGCTCTACTGTACCCTCCCGGGAACACGGCATTATTTTGCATATTAAACACCCATCAATCATAAATCACCACATAAACAATGAAATAGTCCAAAGCATCACAAAATAAACACTGGCCATACATGTTATACTGTTTCAGAGATTACTTACAACATAATTCATGTATTATGAAGTTGAGCCAGCCAAACTGAAATCTCCTCATTATGCAAGCACAGACACTTTTTAGGTCTAACTGCGAGCATGGCTGTGCAGTTATCATCTTTTAGGAAACAAACTAAGACAGGAAAAGGTCATGTGGAACCAGGGGAGGCAGTCCTTAATACGCTTCACGTTGTGACAACGTGGTTTTTCCAAATGCAAATGCTTTTCTCATTTCTTGGCAAGGGGAAGTGGCGATTAGATGGTTGTTACACAGAAAGGGTGACATCTGGTAATCAGGAAAGTCTGTGGATGTTTCCCCCGGGCGCCCCTGAGTATTAACACACATTAAAAAATCATAAATAAAAACTATGCAGCCAGAAATATATCTCACCAGCCAAGTGTGTGTGAAAGCTTTTGGAAGGAAAAACTAAATCGGGAAAATGAAGATAACAGAGATCTCATCATCCAACTGTCTGCTGTGAGTTACCAGATTCTCAAAAAGAATTAAAAAAACAACAACAACACTGCCTACAGAATTAGAGGGCCAGAAGAAGGGACCTCGAAAGGTCAAGTGAGCTAGTAGGCAAGACGTATTTCAACACTTGCTCCAAGGCAACAGTAAATTTTCCTAAGATTTACTTGAGGTTTCCTTTGCACAGCTGCCTAGACATGCATCAAATATACCAGCCTTTTTAAAACATGAAAGAAAGAACTACACTTTTTAGAGAATTTGGTGCCAAGCTAGATGGAGCAAAGGCTTTGGAGTTAAGCAGGCCTGGCTTACAATTCTGCCTCTGACCTCTGAAGAGCTCGGGATGTGGGCTTCCCTGGTGGCGCAGTAGACAAGAATCTGCCTGCCAATGCAGGGGACGCGGGTCCAGGAAGATCCCACATGCCGTGGAGCAACTAAGCCCGTGGGCCACAACTACTGAAGTCTGCGCGCCTAGAGCCTGTGCTCTACAACAAGAGAAACCACCGCAATTAGAAGCCTGTGCACCGCAACGAAGAGTAGCCCCCGCTCACCGCAACTAGAGAAAGCCCACGGGCAGCAACGAAGACCCAACACAGCCCAAAAATAAAGAAAA